TTTTTTTGTACGTGATACGAGTTGCAAGTGAGGGAATAAGATTTCATAGGTTTTATTTCAAATAATATTGGGTTGTTCGGTAAGTAATTTCGTTTTTCCCGACGAGGCCTTAATTGTATTTTTAGAACCAACTTCACATTTAAGCCGCACAATCATGAAATAATTTGACAGCTGATATAGCAGGGCATGCTTGTGAAAAAGTTCGATTGATGCTACGCAGTAGTGTTTGGTCGGTGCCCTTTCAAATATGGAAAGCGAAAAAGGCTTGCAAAGTTTCAATGCGGAAATTTTGATGTTAAAGATGCAGCACGTTTGGAAAAGCCAATTGAAGGCCTTAATAAACGATAAAGACCTTGACTGATGTGAACCGGAAATAACAACTGGTGAGATCACTGATAGATTAAATTTTTCTAACTCGACCATTCATAATCATTTGAAACGCTTAAGTTTTATCTTAAAGCTTGACATGGGTTCCTCAAGACTTTAGGGAAAGAAATTTCTGTCGTCGCTTTAATGTCTGGGATTTGCTTCGAAAACTTCAAAAGAATGATCCATTTTTGAAGCGCATCATCACTATGGACAAGAAATGGGTAGTCTACAATGTCTGTTCAGGTCTCTAGAAATGTTTTTAGACTGTAAAACCTTTACTTCAAATGAAGAGGTCAACTATCTCCTGGAACAGTATTTTGCCAGCAAAGAACAAAAATTTAAAGAACGTGGAATCATGCTAATGCATGGCAAAAGGCATTGGACCAGTGTTGACAATATATAATTCAATTATATGTTTATTCACTCTAAGGAAATCAACTTTCATTTCCATAAAAAATTGAAATGAATTTCCGAACAACCCAATACTTTAACCTTATGTATGAGATAATCTAATGAAGACTTTTTCAAACTGTGTGTTGAGCTAATAACTCATTAATTTTCTATTAAAAAAATTGAGTTATCCTTCATTTACATTTTTTCATTCATTTCTACTAAAACTAAAGAATTAAATTCCGAAACAAAACTCAATTCACAAGTTTTTTTTAGTGGTTTTGTTTTGTAACTATTAAATAGTAATAACTGTTTACAGAGACGTAGTCTGCGTTTACACCCCATTTTACTGCCGTTATTTACTGAGCATCAAATTTTTATTTTATTTCGGATTTATTTGAGCTGATTGCTTTAAAACACTACATTCCACTTGAGGAACATTATACTCTGATGAGTACTGTTGATTCTTTGAATAAAAAAAAATTTGAAAATGCATATAATCTGCATTTTAAAAATTGTAGGTTTCCAGGTATGTACATGAGAATAACGTCCATATTTAAGCTATTTTAGAAAACATTGATAATGCTTGTTGGACCACTAAGCTGAATTTTACCGTACATATATTTTAAGCTAATATGGTCTCTTGTGTTACTAACCCTCTTGAATTGCATGGTTTCGGCTCGAAATAGAATACTTTTTATAAGAATAGGTGTTGAAGAATTTTCATTTCATCTTACTCATAGTTGAACAATTTTCGTAAGGTTTCGTAACAATTATGATTGGTTTAAGATCTAAATGACTCATTTTTAAAGTTCCTACAAGAAAACATGTTATAAAAGATATCTATTACCTAGTACAAACTGAATATAATTTGGTTTTTGTCATACCAACTAAGCAAATTTTGAGTTGCAAGAATTGTTGATGTGCTCCTGTATTTTTTTAATCACTTTTTTTGTTTTATTTAAAATTTATCTTAAATTATATTGATTTAGATTTAACTAAATCATTAAAAATGTTTCAAGTAAACCGGTTTAGCTAATAAGATTTTCTATAGACAATTTATGAAACGTCCACTTATGTGGCACTAATATCCTTGCATGCTTAATAAATAAATAAAATAAAAACTAATGCAGTCGAACCTTGTTAACGCGAAATCGACAGGACTATCATAATAATTATTTCAAGTTAACCGAATTTTGTTTTATCCGATCCATCATGGAAACAATTTACATATTATTAATACATGTTATGTATTATATTAATGTATGCAAACAATACTATTATGAACCAAACAAAATAAGCTTAAAAGGTGGCAACTATTTTATTTATTTGCCGATCTGCTATTTCTAACAAAGGAAGAAAATACAAATAGCATTTCTCAAAATGAATTATAAGAATTTTATTTCCATGCTTATTAACTGTGTCGTGTCCAGTTTCCTTTCATGTCAGGCGAATCAGCTTAAAAATTGCATGTTAAACATGTAAAATACACCAACAATTGATTGCTGACTCACGGGACCAGACATTAGTTTAATTTAAATCGATGTTTCACGTTGAGCAGTTTCGCGTTAATGAAGTTCGACTGCATAAGAATACTTAAATATGCTCATACATTACATTAAAATTTCTAATAATTAAATTTTTAATAATACATGTATAAGAGAGAGAGATATTCCTCCCTTATTCTTGCAGGTCAGTATATAAATTAAAAATATGTATGTATCGGCATTAATTACATGAGTAAGAAATATAAGTATTCCCCCCCCCCAAAAAAAAATCTCAATTCTACGATTTTTAACATCTAGGAGCACGAAATATTTAAAGTAATAAGGCTTTTTCAATTAAAACATAGAATGATGAAGAGAAATAAAAATTTCAGGTGAGCTGCAAAAATAAAACATACCTTTTATACATGAGACAGGTAAGCTCAAGTAAAATAGTGCTGAAGATTTAATAAAAGTTAAAATTTAAAAACTTCGCCATAATAGAACTTTCAGTTTAACATGTTTATTAATATAATGTAGCATTATATAAAATAGTATTGATACGTAGAAAAATATCTAAAATACAATTTCAATAAATGTATAATAAAAAAAATGAAGATATTACAACAATTAATGAGTGGTTACAAAGGAAAGATAAAATATAGAACATAAATCAGAATAGCATCTTATTCCCATTTATGCTTTTGGATTCTATCGAGCATAATGTCTGTTTAGCAGGACATACAAAAAGTTAGATCTTATTCAGTTCTTAAACTAATTTTATAAATAACAAGCGGAAGAAATTAAAGTAATAGTATTTAACGAAACAGGATGGCATGCTTTATTTTAAGCATTTTTAGTTTCCTTAGCCTTAAATTTATGCATATTAATTTATCAAGATATTTTTGCATGAATGCAATGCTAGATAAATGTTAAAAATTGCATATTTATGTTAATTTACCGTAATAGATATTCGCCATTATGCTCACAATTGAAAAAAAAATTATAGGAAAGTAAAATATTTTTTTCATTTGGTATTTTGTTATATTCCAACCGGAAGTATTTAAATTGAAATTAAATTAGAGAAAATTTAAAAAAAAACCGTGTTTGATTTGGAGCATTATTTTTAAACGCAAATTATTTTAATTAAATTGTGTAATTTAAAGATTAGAAAAGAAATTTACTTGCAGTAAATTAGTTTATGAATTTTAAAAAAAAATGAATAAAAAAATATGTACATGAACAAATTATGTTTTAAAAAATGTGACAAGAAAAATATTTTTATAATAGGAAAATAAGTATTATGGTACTACTCATAGACTTATATACAGACACTCCTATAACAGTTTTAATTTTTAAAAATGAAAAATTACATTTCTGAAAATTGGAGTAAATGTAAATAACTCCAAACCTTATTTTCAATTTTTTTTATTGTGTTTATTTAAAGCTTACGAAAACTACATTCATAAATGGTGGAAGCTCTTCACTGTACATTCATTACCTGTTAGCTTTAAGTATAAGTATCGGGGATCTGTCTAGGATTATCTGAAAGGTACGTATTTTGTGAAAATGTAGACATAATTTGTGAAAATTAAAAATTATACTAAAATTTTAACACAAAAATATGGATTTATCGTTCTTTACGGGATACAAAAATAAAATTTTAAGAAAAAGTATTTTGTGAAACTACCGTTTTTCCTAAAGTTGAATTTGTAAAGGTATTGCTAAACGGTAGTAAATTTGGCCTGGACAGACCCCTGAGTATGCACTGAAATACATACCCAAATTAGATGAAACAATCTTCAATTAAATTTTGTTTCTAAATTATGCTAGAGGTCTTAGCTTAGTTACATAAGCTCATGTTAATTGCTTGCTTGTGTGCAGCAAAGTATAATTTGATCTTTGAGTGATTGTGATAAAAATAAATAGATCTCAATGCAAGAACGAATACGTACATTGCCAATCACACATCGTTACGATTTCTTAGAACACTATTCAATTGACTAATCTAAAGAATGATAGGTATTTATAGCTTATTCATTCAAATTGCATTTCTAATGCTTCTATACTTAGTTCACTATTCACAAACCAAATAGAAAAACTTATTGCTCTCTCAAAGATGAAAATGCCCAATTAATGTTTTCATTTTATAGTAAAATCAGATTTTGAATCCTTTTTCTTAAAAATTTTTTTTTCCCTACAATTTGTTATTGTATACACTTCTATTTTTTGTTTTTAAAATACACAGTACTTCACGAGCCTTGTTTGCTACTTTTACGTTACTGAAAAACACATTTGCATTAATTACGCATTATCAAAGTATAATCTAGGATTTAGGCAATGTTTAGTTTTGTGCAATCGCATAGCAGTATTCAATTTAATTAAAATGTCACGATAAATATAATAATTTTGGATAAGAATATTCCTCATAAGTATTGAAGGTAACAAACTAAAAAGGCGAAGTTGGAACAATGAAAAAAAAATTGGAAAAAGTGCTAATTCTAAGATAGACTATTAATGCGAAAAGCCTTATCCACCTAGAAATCAAGGTTAATGAATTGGTGACATTACAAAGAGATAATGTTTTCATTTAGCATTACAGAACCAGAAAATTGAATGCTACTGTGAAAAATTAACAAACGTGGTACACAACACTTTCATTCAAAGAGAGAGAGAGAAAAAAAAAAAGGCTTGATAGATACATCCTGGGGAAGAGATTTTAGTTGTTTCTTCCATCATGAAATTGGACAACAATTATACATGTTAACTTTTTATTCTTGCGCCTGGTTGATAAGTTTTTACTTCTAACACCTGATGTTAGGAATAGTTTATACATTTTTATAGTTTATACATCTGTGTAAATTGAATCATTCTTGTGCTTGTGGAAGTCCTAAAATGTACATGTCTTTGGGGCGGGATTTAGGGATCTAAAAATTGAGAAGTAATTTATTTTTAGCATGCTGCCATTAAGAATAAGAGTAAATATTACTAATCATCTAGGGAAGCATTTCCTAACAGGAAATTGGTTGATACATTCAGACAGCAAGTATGTTGATGGTAACGACATTTTCTTCCTTGGAAATATTTCCAGGTAAGAGTGCTGCTACCTATAGAGGGAAAAAAAAATACACTTATTTTTTTGTGTGTATATGAAGTACATACGTAAAGATTTATGAAATAAATCAAAACTTAAGGAGGGATTAAAAAAACAAACATAATTATAGGTTTTTAAATAGTTTGAGGCGTTGATTAAATATTTTATTAAAAAAGTCAAATTTTAAAAAATGGCATTTTTTTTATAAGAAAGGGACGTCTAGGAGTCCAGACTTATAACATTTTTTGTAACTTTTTAAGGGTTTTTATGTCTAAATTTACACGTATAAGAACATATGATTATTAATAGAGATCGAGATGCAATTTTCATCTAAGTCAGAAACACTGAATTGCGACAAAAATAATGAATAAGATAGTGAGAGTTTTGATATCTAAGTACCAATTAGAGGGAAAAAAAAGTAAAAATAGCTTAGATGTAAAAGAAAATATCTTCCCTTGGATTGAATGAGACTATTCGGACAAGTTCCGAAATTATAAGGATTTAATGCAAAAAAAAAAAAGGTTCAATGTACCACCATTTTACTCATCTGGCATAATCATATAACTAAGTGAGTTTGCGTTTCTCGTATATTTTTTTTTATTCTATATTGAATGAAATAAAACTGGAATCTATAATATAAATTTTGAAGTTCGGTTTTAAGAGTTGGGGGGTGTACGCAACTTGCTTGTAAAGAAAAATATTGTTTCCTATGAATTTTTACTCTAGTTGAATGAAACCAAACACTAGTTAAATTGAAATGGGCTTCTTATGTGTAAAAAGTGCTCTTTAACGTACAAGAAGAAAAGAAAAAACTTTTGCTTTTGTCTCAAAATTTGAGACCGTGAAAAATATTACCTTTGAACTGTTCGTTCTATTGATTAAATAGCCTGGAGGAAAAAAAAATGAAAACAATACCTCCTTTATTTAGGTAGAAATGTCAAGCGTGCAGTTATGAAATCGTACTTTTTGAACATTAAACTTCGATAGCATCTAATAAAGTTAGTCCGATCGTCATTTTTTAAATATATTTTTTTCTAAATGCATCAGTAAGTGAGGACATTATTTTGAAAACCACTTCATTTATTAGTTATCTATTAAATTTCTCGAAAGAAAAATTTCAGATAAGAAAAACATGTCATGTCACACCTTCCTCCAATTTTTTTTTTTTTTACTATTTTCGTCAAATAGGTGAAGATTTTTAACACTCACTAAGAAAACGCAAAATATGAACTTCTCTTGTTAAATAGGTCATTCAATATGGTACGGTACTCTATGAAATGGAGAAATAAATTTCAACCTATTCTACCGGAAAGTGTGGCATTTAAAAGGAGATTATTGACCATTAAAAAATTATCTGCACTTGTTGGGCTAACATATTTCAGCAAGAATTTTATTTACGTATAATGAACCTCTAGTATTCTTTTAAATTTAATTTAAACTATGTGTAAATGCGTTCAGCAGAGCACAAACAGCACAGAAATATTTTTTTCAATTGACTGTTTAAAATAGTTACAAAAAGAAAAAAAAGCGTTTTTTTTTTTTCTGAAAATAATTTAATTTATTCATAATGCTTATCCTTATTTATTATGCTAAGAGCAAGAGTCTTTCACTGATTTTAAATTTGTTTTCTGCTGATAATAAATATACAGGGTTGAAGGTACTTTTTTTCATTGGATGTTTTTAAAAAATGCTTAATAGCTTATGGCCATCTGAACTTGACTTGGGGATCATTTACTAATTACGTTTTTCATATAGGCCTCTAGACCAGTCAAGAATCACTAAGCTTCATCACCTCAAAATATCCACCCCTTTTTCATTCATTTAAGTTAAAAATTGAGAATATTAAGTGTAAAATTTTTATAAGCTTTCATTGTACTTAATTTTTGTTTTTGGCTTATTACTTTTAAAAATTTCAGTACTCTTAAGTTGTTTTATGAGATAACCCAATATTATTTAGAAACAAGATTTTAAAAAGTATAAAATGAGGAGCTTTTAATATTTTAAATGCAGTAAAAAATCTTATGTTTAGTTTTGTAAAAAAATTCTAATGACAATATGTCATTCCAAAAAACTTTAATTCATTTCTTTAATGATTTTATTAACAAACAATTGATTTTCAATTGAAAAATTTCAATTATCTCTGATTTGTTAAATATTATGAATGTAGGGACCATGGAAACATTTACTTAGGCAAAAATGTTTAGCTTCAATACTCATTGTATTTACATTTCAAAATTACTTCAATATTTTTTAAATCATTAAAGAAATACTGAACCAAGAAACAAATAATAATAAACATTTTTTTAGGGCCAATCATTAATTTACATTTGTAATATGAATTTATTAGATTGCTTAATTCGTTACATAATTTTATAAATTCGGTATGATCAGTAATACTAATCTTTTGTTAAATATGGTTTTATAAATAACTTTCATTTAATTCTAAAAAATACGCGCGATAGACTTTTTAAATAATATTTAAATTAATTATAATTTTAAATGAATTTTTTTACATAATTAAATAATGTAATTATTAATTTAGAAATAGAAAGAACCGCTTAATATTGAATATCTTTAAAATTGCGCATAAATTGTTTTTATGGTGGCTAATATATAGAAATTATTTTGCATTTTATTAATGTATTTTTGAAGAAATTTTAACAGTAAAAGAAAAATCTATTTTTATTAGTACGCATATCCTAACTACAGGTTTGAAATTTAAATGTCAAAAATTGTCGAAATCTGACAAAAACCTGGGACAAGTTTCCTTATTTAACATTAAATCATGCACAATGCTTGCATTATCTATTACAATTTTTATTATATATCATTTATAAAAATAGCCTAGTTAAATTATTAATTGGTTTTTCTAAAAACATGGTACTCTCAAATATATTTCAAGTAATAACTATGAGTGGTTAATTATCAATCTAAATGTTGATTTTAAATATTTTACGCAACAATTTAGGCTGATTTTTTAGAGTAAGTAAAACTAAAGTGGTCGCCAATAATTGTCTGATCTCGACTTAATAAAAAAGAAATATTATTAATGTTCACAAACAAGATTTTGAGCAAAAATTCGTACAAAGTGTTTTATTGTTAAAAAATGTGTCACTTAGCAAAATTTTCCTCGTTAAAAACATTAAATGTCAGTTTGGGTATTTATTTGTTTGAATTCCTTACGTTTGTGAATCGGACCTTAAATTTAATAAATTATTACTATTTCAGTATATTTCGATTTCTAATAATTTTTAACCTATGCTCGTTTTTTAAAATTCAAACAAATTCCTTTTCTTATATAAACAATACTTTCCAAAAATATTTTTAAAAAGTTATTGTACTAAAAGAGAAAAATGATAAAAGTTTTCGAAAAATTTCAATAAAAAAATATTTTTCTGAGGAAGGGACTAAGAATTTTCAGTACTCCTGCTTGTAGTTATGTACAGGAATATTTCCAATAAATCATGAATATAATATATTCCCTGATAAGTCAACTTATTAGAATTTACGAAAAATATAAATGTTTGTTTGAAGGAGTTAATAGCTTAATCAATTCAAAGGTTTAATTAAGTTACTATCGATATTTAACACAGTTACTAGTATAAATTTCCTAATTACATGTTATGTATTTTGTTATGTTATAATAGCTAAGAAGGTCAAGATCAATCGAAAGAACAGTTTCTAATCTCGGTCTTATTCATACAAAACTGAAAAATGAAGTACAGAGGGCTTAAAAACTATTTTTCGTAATCACTTGCTTCGAGGGAAAAGATGTATAAAAATGAAAGGATATGAAAACTGATTTTACATATAAAAGAATAAAACGATTGTTAAGTGTTTTTTTAATAAGATAATTGTTTTTTTTTTCAATAAGTAAGCAAATTAAGGGACTAGATAAAGATGGAACACTTATTTTACATGTATGTTAATTTAAAAATACTTCATATTTATAATGGATAATAATTATCCTTATGCAAAAATTTTGGGTTTTTGGCAAAATTTTTAAATGTCTACATTTTTTTTTTTTACCTGTTATAAATAAATGGTGATTAAAATAGGATAAAATTGTCAATTGTCTAAAACTTGTTATCCCTGCCTCATTATGATATTTTTTACACTGTTTAAAATATTCTTTGAGTACTTAAAAATGCTTAAAAGGTGCTTATTTGTTGTTGAAAATTTTGGCTATAGTGCTGCTCTGAGGAGAACAAATGATAGCATTTTTCTAATGGAGAAATGAATGTACCGATTAGTTTACTCACGTTGACCTATACAAAGATCAAGACAAAACTATTCACCCCCACACCCCTATTCGAAGCGACTTTTCCTCGTAACCATGGTACCCGCCACGACGCGAGACTGATGTCTGGTGGAGTTCTGAAAGCCGCTATACGCACACTGATATGTTTTGAATTTTTTATAAGGGATGGTAGTGACATAAAAAAAACTGATCTTCAAACAAAAATTATTTCAATTAACTTCTTTCACTGTATTAAAATACCTGTTATAAATAAATTTTGACGAATTAATCTATCGACCTGCACCAAAAGTTGTTATATTTTGCCAGTTTCAATATATCGGTTAAAGATAAATCCAAATGCGGACATAAGTGTTATCATTCCAATGAGGAACCTGCGTGGTATTTTTTGATATAAAACTTCGAACCATTTTATGACGATAGACACCAATTTTAGTTCAGTGGGTTAACTAGTTATTTTGTAATTAATATTTAACATTGCTAGATTAGCCACGCCCCCTAAAACGCAGTTTCTCCTAGACGGCAGCGCATGCGCTCTTGGATATTGTCATCACTCTTTTCAATGCAGGCACTCTAGTTTTCCCATCTTGGCTGATGACGTCAAAATATAGGGAAAATACGACTCCCATCACCTTCTGATACAGTAAAAGCAGCTCGTAGAACATTGATGAAAATAACTCCAAAGCACTTACAACAAGTATAGTTTTATATCACGTTGTAATAGCTTTACATTTAACGCACCATATAAAATTTAATAATAAAAATATGAATGTACCAAAACGCGAAAAATGACAGGATTGGTGCAAAGCCATCAAACGTGATGACCAAAAAGAAGGGGGTTGGGGGAAATTGCGAACTTTTTCTTATTTTATTCTTGAAAAGGATTTTTTTCCTTAAGAGTCTTGTACAGGTTATTCCTTTTTATAAATATTTTTCTTTAATTTAAACTACCTATTCCGATTCGTTCTGGTTTAACTTCGTTAGCTAAAACATACGTTCTTTTGTTTTTTACTTTATTGAAATCGAAATTTTAGAAATAAAAATAATGCATTTTATTTTTGTGTAGTTGGGCGGAGGAAAAATGTAAAAAGAATTAAAATAAAAAATAGGCCTTGAAATCTTTTGCGTCACTTCTAATAACAATTAAATAAAATATTTTAGAAGTAAACAATAAAAATTAAGCCATTTTTTGAGAAAATTTTTAAACTTTTTATTTAAAATCTTATTTCAATTTGCTCAGTCTGCGATCAAACCAGCATGGAATTTTTAAAATAATTCATACTTTAATGTATGTTATTCGAAAAAATAAACCAACATTTAAATAAAATAATAGTAATAATATAATAATAAAAAAATAATAATAATGCTTTTCAAAGGTCATTGAAAAAAAAGTACAAATTAGGAAAGTAGTATAAAACTTTTTTTTTTTCCCGCATTCACTTTTTCTTTTGCATTCAAGGGCACCTACGAAATTTTTCTCAGAAGGGGGAGGAGAATTCAATCGGGGGGAAAAAACAGACCTCAAATTACAAAATCATGTTTCAAAGTTATTTCTGTAATTTTGGAAATTAAAAAATTTTTTTTTTATAATTTATTCATTGTCACTAAAACAGCAAACTTCGAAACAAACTTAGCAATTTTAACAATATTTAAATTTTAAAGAAGGAAAACTAAAAAATCATATTTCATTTCAATTATTCAAGAAAATGTACTTTATTTACATCACACTTTTAAGTTTTCTACGCACACAAGCAATTCGCTATTGTGTGTGTGTGTGTTTTTTTTTTTTGGTAAATTTTGTATGAGCTTTATTTTGTGAAATGCATCTTGCAAAAATATTTTAGCTAATAATGGTATAAAATTTTCAAATGCATATTTCGCGTCCAGTACATTACTTTGAGTAAATTAAATATTGCACACAAGAAAAATTATTACAAATAAATAATTATTTATTTTTTGTAGTTTTTCAGGAAAAACGGTTTTAAAAATAAAAAAATAACTAAAAATAAATAAATAAGGGATTAGGAATTATTTGCATCTCCAGTAAAAAACTTAAAAATCTAGATCTTAAATATTTCCTATCTGGGATGAAACCATTAGGTGAAAAATTCTGAAACAGTTCTTATTTCTTTCAGCACTTTAGAATTGCAAAATTGATATTTTTGATTTAAAAATATAAATTCTCAAACCAAACATCCTTTCTCTCTCTCTGCATTAAACCAAAAAGTTAACTCAATTTTGGCAATAAAACAATATATATGTATAGAATAAAACTCCTTTGTAAGACAACGCATCATATGACAAGTTTAGGTTCGGCCAATTTTGTTTACCATGTACTATATACTGAAGTCAGAAACAATCCCTGCCTCTTTTTGAGTCACGTGAAGATACTTTCGTTTTAAGCTAATTTTGAGTTATGATTTTAAAAATTACAGGTCAATTTTGAACATACTGATTTGATTGTTTGTTTGAGAGTTTTATGTTATAGACCAGGGGTTTCCAACTTACATGAGGCCGGGGGCCGCAATTAAAAACACCAGTCAAATGACGGACATTTAATATTACTGTCAGATTCTTATCAACTTGTACAAAACAAACGTATTAAATTAGAAATTAAATTTAGAAGTAGATTAGTAAGCAACATACACGGTTATTTTTGTATTTGAATAAATATTTTCTTGTATGTAAAACCTGAGAAATAATTTTTTTGCGCCGTTGGTATTTTAAATTTCACAGAAACGAAATTTTTTTTAGCGAAAGAGAAGTATTATCAAGCCCATATAGATTTTTTACGAAAATTGTCATAAAAAAATGACAACTATTATACTTTAGTCCGCGAGCCACAAAAAAAGGCTGCGGATGCGGCCCGAGGGCCGCCAGTTGGAAACCGCTGTATTAGACTATTCAAAATAATGAAGATTACGCAATTACCCTACGCATGCAGGTTCCTCATTGTAACAAAGCATTTATGTTTCGTTGCTAAGGCTAAAAATTTTAACAAAGCTTAAAATAAGTGACAATACATTAAATACGTAAGTTTTGCATTAACTAACGCCGGAAGACACATTAACGAAGAGTTGTTGGAAAAAGAAAAACTGTGTAACATTCATTGAATTGTGAAGTGCTTTCTATCATTGTTGCATCATCATTCGATGGAGGGGGGAATTTATAAGTACCCAGCTCTCTCTCTCTGTATACATAAAGTTAAATGAGTTACTCAGTAGTTGTTGTAAAGGTCAAACATTACAATTATTTCTTTCCTTTCTTAATGTTCAATCTGAGAAAAGTCCATACATTTAAAAACTATTTAAAATGTCGTTGAATTTTATACAAAGAAATAGAAAGAAAAAAAAAGTATAGAAACACAGTGTCGTCTTGAAAAACTAAAAATGTTCAAATTTATTAGTTTATTTTGCGTAATTATAGAGGTAAATAGTTTAAGGCAAGGTTTGTGATTTTTTTATTTATTTAAATCGGATTTTCTTTTATTCAAATACACTGTAATAACTTTGATTTATGATTAAAAAAACTTTATAAATGTTTAATCAAAATTAAATTAATATTGAAACTATATTATAACAATATTTTAGAAGCTCTAACTACCTAAAACAATTTTTTATTATAATACATAGCTTTGAATGCATAGCAACCATTTTGAAACAAATGCATGGTTGAAATTTAAAGACTAGATGAAATAAAGAAGTTAAAGAATACTTTAACTATTAAAACAAAGTTTCAATTAGCAAATCGTAATTTTAGTTTAAAATTGTGATTTTTTTTTTCCTCTTGATTTCAAAAATTACTGGATAAATGTAACAGATTGTGTTCATATTAGTATAGTCATTCATCAATCAATAAATAAATATGTAATCTATATATTTTTATATTAAAATATTCATTTTTAATCCTATATCAAAATAGATAAGTTAAGCTAAAAAAATCTATGTACTCATTGGAATTTTTTTTCACAAAATTTCTTAATAGAAAATCTGATAATGTCTAAGATACTGTAAATATATTATGAGAAAAAAAATACTTATTGATAAAAGAGACAGCACAATTCTGGGTTATTTAATTTAATAATATAGACATTCAGTGATTTGAAATTAATGAACGCAATATTGAGAATGACATAAATACAGTAGTTTGTTGCTAAACTGTTTAAATAGAAACAAAAGTTTTCCAGGTTTCTCAGTTGCTAAGCGATTTGAGCAGTTTAGATTGTACTAAACCCATTGTCGAAAAAACTCACTCAACAGATGCAGAAGAAGCTTGACCTGAAAATAACTGTGAAATCATATCTAATACAGCTTTTTTAACATTCCCAGCAATTTCAGATTTCCACCAATCTATAGGATTTACCTGATTGATAGTACATGCGCATCAGATTGATCAATGAACGGCTGCATGACAAAGTATTTAGACAGATATATTGACAGTAATTGTTATATTAACATCATTGTTCTAAGCACTAAATTATTTTTTTTTTCAGTTAACCTTGTAATATCTTTGCATAAAATTAAATACTTTTAAATGTTTAAAATTAGAAACTGTAAAACTGATTACTTAGGATAAAAAAAAAGAAAAAATGGAATCAGAAAATCAGAATCGATTTATTAGAAAAAAAATGAGATAAATTGAAATAATTAAAGTGTGAAAAAATTCATGTTTTTTATCATATTACATAATACCATTAAAAGTCCATTTAAACATAAATAATAACATTAAAAAAATTTGTTCATAGAATTAAATTAAAAAAATAAATAAATATTCTAGTTATTAAAATAAATGCAAGTTAAAATTTTTGATTTAAAGAATGTTTCGGGTTAAAAATGATTAAAATTAAAACGATTAAAATTAAAAATAATGAAAAAAAAAGCGATTGAAAAACTGCATTGAGATAGGGTGCTTCAAAAACTATTTAATTTTAAATTTCTGAATTTTTTTATTTTTTAAAAAAAAAAAAATTCTTTTTTTTTTCATTTTGTTTAGGTTTCTGCTGCGGGCGGCATATCGAGGGTTGGCGGACCGCAGGTAGTGCACCCCTAGCGTAGGCGAAATCTTTGTTATTTGCTATCAAAGGACTCGCAAGATTCTTTTGGGACTCTCGAGGTGTTGAGTACGTTGATTTCTTTCATGAATGACAAACAATTAATGTAACTTTTTATTGGATAACTACCAAATCTACTGGACTACTGGTAAATCAAAAAATAATGACTAAGTCGATAGAAAATATGCTGCACGCAATACTTTATTTATCATTTTAAATTGAATTAAAATTAGATCAAAATTTCAATTAATTAAATTTTCGATCTCTTAAATAAAAAAAATTTTCCACATATTTCGCCTTAACTCTCTAACTTTGTAAGGAAAAAAATTATTTTGCACATAATAATGAAACTTATTAAAAAATATTTGTTTATAAATGTAAGATCGATCAAAAAATTTTGATTGTAAGGTACGCATATTTTTACATCACTTAAATCAATGCAACTTTAAATGGCGAAGACAATGCGCGAAGGGAATACGACGTATGGAAATTGAAATAAAACTTCCTTACTCAGAAACTAATTGAACATTTTCATTCACATTTTGTAATGAGACATTTTCGGCCCTTAGGTCAAAAAGTTTTTAATGACAAATATAAAATTAAATAATGGTCATAAAAATTTAATTTTTGCATTAAATTATCTTAGTTAGGAACGAGTTTCATAATTAAGAGCAAAGGATTAGCTTAAATATTTCCAAAGATAATCTGAAATAAGCAAAAATTGACACGAAAGTTTTCAAAATTTTAGCCGTTTTTCTGATTTAACCCTATTTTAAAGATTCCAGAATTTTAATGATGATGAATCCATTTAAAAGGCTGTTTAATCAGGTAAAGTGCGTTTAATGAAACATCAAAAAAAATGTTTTTGTTTAATTCAATAACGTTGTAAAAATTTGAATGATATTCAAATTTTTTTTCATCACGTTATGCAATTTTAAATAGAAGCATTCAAAATTTAATCGTAATGGTGAATGAAAAATAAAAGTCGCACTCAAAATTTTTAGTAAAAATGAGTAATATTATTCAGACGTTAGTATTTTTATAAAAAGGTTGGTGTTATTTGATAAATACTGAGACCTGCTAACTTTTAATTATTCCAAAGATTAATAGTTTAAAGGGTGGTGAAGAGATGATTGAAATATAAATATAGTTAAAATTAATTAATTTGCCTGCACTTAAACATGAATAACTCGCATATATATATGTGTGTGTGTTACTGTGAATGACCGAACATACATAAATAGTCTGGAAAAGATCTTACGATGTGTCATATGAACTTCTATAACTTATCTATTTTTTCTTCTTAAAATGGTGGGATTATTAAGAGCAAATATCTTACATGGTAATTGTTGCCTGGTTTGTTAGGAATTGTTTTCCATCTACCTTAAACAGGCTGTAAGTCGAGTCATACTAGAGGCAGGTTGCTATACTTTTGCATTAGCATGCGTGCATCACCTCTCTGCGTATCTCAATGTATAAGTATATGAATACGTCATCGCTTGCCTATTTATATTTGCACTCAAAATAGAGCATCATAAAGACGGGGAAGTTCTAAGTTTCTGGAGGTTTTTTTTTCTAAATAGATTCACCTCTTTAGTGAAAATTATTGAAGTTGTGTGTGTTTTTTTTTTTTTTTTACATTGTATACTTAGTTATAAATTATTTAATAAAAAAAACTCATTTGGGTAAACATCTCATTATTTTTATTTTATGCAATAAGCATGCTACAGTATTTTACGAATAAGATAATTAAAGTGAAGACATGCCTGATTTTACAATCCCACTCGACATGCAAATAAAAGTGTAATTGACCGAGCTGTTTTATTTATCCACCCCCTTATAACTTTTTTTTCTTACGCAATGCAACTAGTAAAAGTCGCAATATGTTTAAGGCCGAGCGCGCATGTATTAGAAAACATTTAATACGGGTTAGTTCTATCAAAAAGTCCTCCACGTAGGCAAATTTCTCCCAATGCTTAATCCAGTGTTTTCTGGATTGTTTTCAAAATTACAAGGCTACGGAGTTGAATATTGTTAGTCATAAACACAAAATTGGGTCGGCAACGACGGTTATAAAATAAAATTAGTTTTCATGAGTCGCGGTGGCTGGTGGGTACGAATTTTGCTCCTGACTCGCAACGGTCACACTGTTACTTGAAATATCCTCATTGGTTTAGACAGATCATGCATAAGAATCCTCTTGCCGTCGGGCTAATCGTGAAAAGTTTACATGGTTTTCCTCTCCATGCAACTTAAATACGGCCATCAAAAAGTCCTCCGCGAAGGCTAGTTTGTCCCAATGCTTGATCCAGTAGTTCCCTTGTCTTCTGGGTTTCATTTCTTTTAAAATTACAAAACCGCGGAGTTTATCACTGGTAATCAGAAACTCATAATTGGGTCTGAAATTAAACACCGGTTATAAAATAAAATAAAATAAGTTTTCATATCCCGCTTGCACCGACCTCAGTGTAAACGTAAAATACCCTTAATGGTAGACATATAATGGGTTAGAATCCCCTGAACTAACCGTGTCCTTTCCTTTCGTGGTTTTTCTTTCCTTGTAACGTAAATGCGTATTAGTTGCATTAAGAAGTCCTCTTGGAAGGTTAGTTTGTTCCAATGCTTGATCAAAGAGTTCCCCTGTCTTCTAGGTTCAATTTAAAATTACAAGGCTACGGAGCAGAGCATTGTTATAAACTCAGGGTTGTGTAGGGTGTTCAACGGTGGTTATATAATGAAACTAATTTTCATGGAATATAACATTACACCAAATCCGTGATTAAAATTCTTTTGGCGCTCTGCCTAATTATAAAGCGTTAAATGTTCGCATATTTTAACTTATAATTTGCGAACTTTTAAAGCAAGAGCAAATGTAAAATAATTTGTTTTCATATAAAAGCTACGTTGTAGAGTTATTAACGTAAAATTTAAAAATTTTACTTAATTTAAAAACATACAAAAATAAATAAAAAACGAATGTTTTGAATGACTTTTGATCTAATGATCAAATTTTACAAAAAGGTACTTTCTCTGAATAAATATACCTTTGATTTAAATTTTTAACAATCAAAATATGGTTCTAATGGAAAAAATAATATTGAAAGTACGTTTTTGTGTCTGATTTCGTAACTTAAAATATCGTTTGCATTAATTAATTAGCATATTTGAGGTCACTCCGCCCCTAAAACATTGAGTCCTAATAGTTCAAAAGTTATTCAGGATGTTTCTTTTTTAAATATATTTTTTATTTATTTATTTCGCACTATACATGCATATTATTATTTTTTTTTAATGTTAAAACAAAAGCTAGTTAGAAGATTTTAGAATTCGCTTTATATTTTCCTTAATTGATTACTTTTTTTTCTACTAAAAAATTTGATGGTTCAAATTTTTTTAATTGTATTTATGTAGATTAATATTTATCTAAATAAAAAAATTTTTTTTACTGAGTGTCAATTTAACCAAATTATCAAAATTATTCCTTTAAATTTCTTAAAATAAAATTGCTAAGTAAATATTACAAAGTTTAACAGACTTAGTCAAGTTTCTAAAGAAATTTAGAACATATTAATAGTATTATTTAAAAGAAAAAAAAACACATTTTCATTTATTTTACTGATAATTGATATTTCAGCAGTAAGATATGTAGATTACAAATATTGGACGTTTTTTTTTATATATCTAACCTTTTCATATTGCAATTTTTTCAAAATCAGATAAAAAAAATTTCTTCTTACTGTTAAGCTTGTCTTGAAATTCATGTATAATTTTAGACATTTTTGTGTTACGCTTTTGTCACCTGATTTCTACTAAAAACTTAACAATTCTTAAAATTGCCATGTTGAACTGAGCGACCATTCACAAATTGTACGTAGGTGATTTAGGTATATATTCTACCACTAAATATATGGTTGCTGAAATTTTAGGACTTTCGAATAATATTAGAAATAGAAATAAAAGAATTTTTTTTTTCTCTTACCATAAAAAATTAAGAAGGGTGAATTGGGTTCATATGCTTACTTATTATTTTTAGAAGATGAAATGAAATCTTGCAAGGAAGAACTAAGGAGATTAATTGTTATAAAAATGTGAATTAATTTCTTAGTATTATTTACTTAAAATGATTATAATTTAATTATTATTTCAGCAATTTTCGAATTTCTTTAAAAAAAAACATTGGTTAATTAAGGAGTTATTCACAAATTGATTTTATTTAATAAATGTCTAGTTGCATTCATTCAAAGTAAAGTTAGAGAAACAATTTAATTAAAAATATTAAATCAAATTGCAATTTTCAAGAGAATATTAAGTCTTCAGATCAGCTCTTAGCAAGAAATAATTGCAATTAAGATTTCAATAAGTTATAACGTTTTGTAACTAACAGTAGAATCTCTTAGTGAATGTGAAAGGAAGTTACTGAATATGTTTATCAAAAAATAAATTTTTAAAATTTATATTTAATTTGATAGAATAACTCTTCTTAATTTTATTTCACTTTGTAATTTCGAAAATATCGTGATGTATTTTAACAAACTTAATAACTGAAGTTTTGCTACAGCAATAAGTTCAGCTTTTTTCGTTTTCACTCCTAATCTGCTGTGGCATGTCTAACTTTTTATCTGATTCACTGGATGCAAAAAATGCTTGTCTTTTATGCGAGCTTGAGTATAGATAATTTCTTTAGAGAATGATTATTCATTACATAACTATTTAAATATGGATAACTTTCTAAACTAATCTATATAATTACGATTTTTGTAAATTTTGAAAACAATCAATTTAGAGAGAAAATTTCAAAATGGTGTTTTTAAAATACGAATTTTTTGCTAACTTTTGAAGATTATATAAATAAATTTCATAAAAAAAAAAACAAGTTTTAAAATTTATTGTTTTAAGTTTTTTTCCTTGTATTTTTTATTCTAATTTTGTTTTAATAAATATATTTTTATTACAATTTTGTTCATGTTAGTTGTTTTTTCTCTTTGCAGACATGTCTATTATCATTCGATTGCAAAACTTGCCATGGGCAGCAGATTCATCGGATATTCGTCGATATTTTGCTGGTCTCTCGATCCCTGAGGGCGGTGTCCATATTGTAGGTGGTGAAATGGGTGATGCCTTTATAGCTTTCAGCACTGATGAGGATGCCAGGTTAGCCATGGCAAAAGATGGTGGTAAAATACATGAAATGCAGATTAAACTGCTTCTTAGTAGTAGGCAGGAAATGGCGAGGGTGATTGAGCGAGCACGACAGCAAAATTTGGCTTTACAGTCAGCACAAATTGTCCCTCCTATGCAACCTCCGCCGTTTCCTAATATTCAGCAATTCCAGCAACCTATACGAGCACCCCCACCTATTGAAAGTGATCGACGTCCCATCGAAAGCGATCGTCGCCCTGTTGAAAGTGATCGACGCCGTGGTCGAAGTCCCACACCTCCTCGACGGCGCAGCCGGGAAAGAATTGATTCGAGAGATCGACGTAGGAGTCCTGATAACAGGCGGTCCTTTTCTTCAAAGAGAGATAGGAGTCGAAGTCCACCTCGTTCTAGTCGTGGAAGCAGCCGTGATAGAGATTCTAGAGATAGAAGGAGTGATCGGAATAGTAGAGATGACCGACGGTATTCAAAAGAAGACTCTAATAGATACAGTGATAACCGTTATTCAGAAAGAAACAGATTTCCTGATGAAGATCATAATAGCAGTCGATCACATGCATTTCCAGATACAAGTCAAGAAAGTAACAATCAAGCTTATCATAACTATACAGATCAAAAAAGTGCTAACAACTACTCTTTTAATAACTCTCTAAATCCATCGGCCTCTAAAGATTATTCTGTGGCACCTAACAATGCTTATTACAATAATTCTGTAACTGCTGCTTCATCAAAAGATTATCCTGTTACGGCTCTTCCTTCTAGTAATAATTTTCCTTACACAGATCCAAATAATCCTTCAATGTCCAAAGCTTATCAAACACCCTATTACAATCCACCTGCTAATAACTTGTCAATTAATTCAGTGGATCGAAGTTTTGGTTTAGATAAAGTGAACATTGCTGCTGTGCTAAACCAAACAAGTTCTGCATCACCTAATTCTTATATGCAGAAGACTTTTGATACTGGGGCGTATCAGCAACCTTTTGCACCAGAAAAAGTTCAAATACCACCAGCGACCTTAAATCAATCTGCTGAGAGAAAAAGAAAGTCTCGTTTTGAACCTGCACCTGATGCGACACTGCCTCTGAAACCACCTTCTTTTCCTTTGCCAGAAGTTTTTCAGAAACTTGGTGTTAAGCTGGAGCCTCAAATATTGCCAAAAACCAACGAAGAGCAAAATTTATCTACGGGTTATCAGCATGTTTCCAATATGTCTAGAGTTGACTGGCCTCAACAAAGCGCCCCAATGAATAATAAAAATTGGAATAGTTTATCAAACACACTTCAGAATTTGCAAAATGTTTCTGATCCTAAGACTAATAATCTGGGTTCAGTAGCAATTCCTATGGACCTTGATCCTCCTGAAGAACCATCTATAATTTATAGTCACAATATAAATGAACCAGTTGCATCGAATAATCTACTTCCTGAACAAAGGAATATGCCTTCAAGGAATAGTGAGGGTCCTCCACCTCGCTCTACTGCAGACAGAAAACAATGGCATGGTCCAAGAACTCAAACCATGGAGCTTCACAGAGTGCCATTTGATACACGAATAGAAGACGTATTACACTTATTTCGTAACATACCTCTGAATCCATCCAATATCTGCATTCAGGGAAATAATCAGAGAGTTGAAAGAGTATTCGTTAAATTTTCGAGCACCAGAGATTTCAATGAAGCTATGAATTCTCAACCTGTTTTCATAAGGAATTCTCAAATTGAACTAATACCCTGTCCAGTATCAGCGTTTGAATCGGCTGTTGTAGCGGTTCAGTCTATGAAACATCGCCCAAAGGGAACACCTCGAGAGGAAGATATGATATTGCAATTGAAAGGTCTTCCTTTTCAGTGTACAGAGCAGGATGTCGTGAGATTTTTTGCTGATCTTCGTATCCTCGATATGTTTTTAGAAAGACAAGCTGATGGTAGGTGCTCTGGCACAGGTTTTGTGAAGTTTGCAAGCATGGCAGATTTCAAACAGGGTCTTGTATTGAATGGCAAGACTATTGGCCATAGATACATAACAATTAAAATTTCTAACAAAGATATGTTAGAATTTGCTCGAGGTGAAAGTGTTTCTTCTAGAGGACCTGATACAAAGGAGTCACCATCAAGAGAACCTAGGCAAAGAGAACCTCCACATAGAGATCATCCTTTAAGAGAACCTATGCAAAGACAGCCTTCGCCAAGAGAACCTCCTCTGAGACAACCTATGCAAAGAGAACCACCTTCATCAAAAGAACCTATGCCCAGAGAGCCTCTATTAAAAGAACCTATACAAAGGGAACCTTCACTAAAAGAACCTTTAATGAGGGAACCTCCAATGAGAGGGCAGCCTATGAGAGAACCTTCAATGAAAGAGCCACCTAACAGGGAACCTCCACATGAATCTCTACATAGAGAACCTCGAATGTCTCCTAATAAATTTGGTGGTCGTCGTCCAGATTTCGATGATTCGTTACAAAATCACGATGTATCTGAACCACCACTGTCAAAACCTGTTCGTGGTAGTTTCTGCATTGGTTTAAGAGGGTTGCCTAAAAGTGTCAATAGCAACATTCTTGGCAAATTCTTTAGGGACATGGATATCACTGCTTTAGGTATCCATATTATTGTTGATAATAACATTCCAACAGGTCAAGCTTTTGTTGAAGTTTCAACTCAACGTGAAGTAGACATTGCTGTAAGCAAAAATGGCAAGTTTTTGCATAATTGCCGTATTAACATGTACTCTCTTTCTATTCAAGAACTTGATGAAATATTAACAATGGGTACGTTACCACCTGAACCATTATTAGGAAAGCCTGCTGATGATAATCGACCTCCTAGACGACCTCTACTAGCTCAAGCACCAATATTAGATAATAATTTCATGGATGGTCCTCCTATGGAACGTGTCAGGGCTCCTGGCCCAATGCGAGGAGGAAGACCCATGCGACCTATGGGAGACAGGCACATTAGACCTCCTATGGGGAGGATGAGAGGGCCCAGGCCTGAAAGTGGTAGAAATCCTGATATGGGTCCAACTGGTTTTGGAGCTCCTGGCTGTGTTGTGGCTGTAAATAATTTGCACTTCAATGCTGGGTTAGAGGAGTTGCTGAAATTTTTCGGTGGCTTTCGAATTACAAAAGATAACATTATGCGCCGGTACAATGAACATCAGCAGCCTACTGGTGAAGCTAGAGTATGCTTTGAAAATCCTAAAGAAGCACTAAGAGCTGTTAGAGAACTAGATACAAAGCCAATTATGGGACGCTCACTTCATCTTGCAGTATTGTGAGATAAGACTTTTTCCTCATTTTAAAATTAACTGAAAGCACGATCTGACACCACCAAAAACTCTGTAAAGCCTAAGTACAGTAAAACTCTATTTCAATATTTTTTTTATAAAAATATAATTAGCTCTCCAAAATGTGGGTAATTACTAGTATACCAACTAGAATTGCTGTAGAATAATTCATCACTCATTTATTGCCTATTTTTTGTTTTAAAACAAAAGTAAAAAATTGAAATCTAGTTCGACATTTCCATATGGGTACTTGTTTGTGTCAATTGAATTTACCGAATGCCTCAGGCCTCGCAATAAATTTAGAGAATAATATATAGTGGGGGAAGATTTCCGCAAGGGTACTTGCATTTGAATGGTTCCCAAATTTTGACTATAAATGATGAACTGCGGTACCAGAGGAAAAAAAAAATCGTAGAATCAGGTAAATTTCAAGGATAGAATAAGGCAAGTTGCTTTATACTTTTTTTAATTTCAAATACTGGAACTAAGTAGTTTCTCTCGTTGATTTCAGTTGATGCAAACGGTTACCAATATTGCTACTGTTGCTTGCCCGAGTTAGCTACAAGTTTTACCTCTTTTTTTGTTCCTTGTGTACCATTGTCCAGTTGTTGGCAATTATTTTTGTGCTTTAACTAAAGTGGAAACCTCCCGAAATCTATGAAAAACTTCTACCAATTCATAGAATTATTCGCAAAAAAAACAAAACAAGAATTGCTTTTTTTAAAAAGCTATTCTATAAACAAAATAAGAGTAAACGAGACACTATTTGGATAACAAATCATTCTAATGCAACAGTTAGGTGGGCAAAATTTGAAAGCTCATTATATATATTTTAAATATAAAAAAAATTGTGTGTTTTTTTTATGCATTAGTGCTGTACAGAAGTGCTGGGCAATATATTGGAATTTCATTAATGTGATATGTTTTCAGGAAACATCAATATTTTCCCAGGTTTAATGAATTATTTTTATATTTTAATATCATTTTTATCAACACTAACAATAATATTGTACTAAATTACTGTTTTCAATAATAGTCGGGATATTATCATAATCCCTATTTTACACTGTTGTATTTGATGTTCTTTCTGAAAATAATTATCACAGTATTATAGTTATTGATAAATATTGTACCTTTAATACTTATAAGATATAAAATATTATTCACACACTTAAAAAATATCAATATTTTACAAATTGTTGCCCCGCACTAGTGTAAAATCCCAAATGGTGAAATAATTCATTTAAATACTGTTACATATTTAATTACATATTAATTTTATGAGGTATTTTCAACCTATTTTTGTAAAAACAAATAATTCAGGTATGAAAGTTTTTGAAGTTAGTATAATTTTGAAAAGACAACGTATGTGGTGAACATACTTTTATTTCTAAACATTTAACTAGTATTTCTAGAAGTTATTTATGATTTTTTAAAGTTCGGATTTTGTCCTACAAATAATTCAATTGAAATTATTTGTAGACTATGACATTATCAGACTTGCGTTAAAATTATATGTTTATGTTTGGTGATCATTAAAATTTAAAAAGATATTCTTCGATATCTTCAAACATTTCATAGATGTTGTAATAATTTTTCTCCAATTCTTTTGGAAAAAATTTACTTTGTTTATATGTTATTATACAAATTCTGTGTAGTTTTCTTATTTGTTACTGAACTGATAGTCTTTGATATTGTAAATAATGTAAATAATAAATAAGGAAAAAATAGATCTGTCTCTTTATTTAGCCTCATAACTTACACTTGCAAATTTAAGATGCTTAAATTTTTTTTTTGGAGTGGGATCCATTTTGAATGATAACAAGAAATATAAGTCTTTACTTTTTAAACTTGTTCAGTATGAGCAGAATTCTAATTATGTTTTTCAGTATGCTTGTCTATAGAAAAACTTCAAAAATTAAGGTGAAAAAAGTTTATGCGTTTCGCGCTCTCAAAACCGATACCAAGTATCAAAGTTATCATTTTGGTTTGTTTTGATAATGAGATGTTTGCTTTGGGAGCTTGAAATACATCCATTTTTCCCACCTTAACCCCTTCCTTCTTCCTCCCGTGAAAATGACGGGGTGAGGTTCCTCACTCTATTTCTCGCTCCCGTGATACTTCCGGGCTGGAGTGTTCAGTAGTAATGCGCCAATAAGAATAAAACTAATTCATTTCTTTTTCCCGGAAAACATTTTATTTCTCATTTTATGCACCAGATGGCAGTCATCCATCAAGAGAATGCCAAATTTGTTGCTCCAGAAGAGATGAAAAACAATAAGAGATGTAGGAAGGAAACTACTGTCCAGATTCTGACGTATCTCATGCTTTGAAATTTATCACACAAGAAAAAAATTACTAATCTTTATTTATATTATACGTAAGTTTAATAAAATTCTTTTTTAATGTTTAAAACACATATTTTTAAAATTTTCCTTGCTTGCTGGAAAACCAACATTAAGTCATAGAATTTTGGCAAGCTAACAACAAATAAAAAATGAATATATTGTTCATACACATATTTTTATATAATTTTCAGGGATAAAAAAAAAAGTAGGCACTTTTATGACTGTTTTCTTGAAAATTAACCAATCGTTAAGAGGTTAATTTTTGAAGCTAATGAAGTTTTTTAATTGAAAAGCATATCTTTCAAGGATTCTCTTTATTTTAGACTTTTTAATTTACTTCAAACTAAATTGGAGCCTTGCACACTTCAAATGAGATGGGACGCAAAAAAATGCTTCTCGCTTCCATATTTAAGGGAAATTTCTGGTGGGTATGGAAGAATCTTGAGAAATCCAAAATGTATTTATAAATTTTTTGTAAGGTGGAAAATTGAATCAGGGTGAGTAGCCAAACCTTTCAACAAAAAATAAGCACCTTTTAAGTACTTAAAAAATATTTTAAGCACTATATACATTAACAAAATAATTTTCAAAGACTTCACATGATCATGATAAAATAACTACTTTCCGACAAAGAACTCTTTTTCTTGATTACATTAGCCATTATAAAATGATCAAGAGATTTTTCGGTTCGATATCAGAGGGTGGGATATGAAGCCTGAAATTGAAAATATTTTGCAAAATGCAGCAGAGTTGCACATGAGATTCCATTCAATCTGACCGAACACAACTCAGTAGACGCACATGTGGACTCCCGAGTATTTCATCAAACATGTCAAATGATTGGCGCTTTCATACGCTAAGGACCGACGGTACACCCAAATAGTTTGTGGTTGAATGAATTGTGAAAACTTTGAATAGAACAATGTGAAAAGCACACTTTTGCATAATACATGGCAAAAATCGATATGGTAAAGAAAAAAAAATCTTATTTTCGAAAAGGGAAATTTAAACGGATTTTATAAACGCCCAATAAAAAAAGCACCTTTAAGGGCTTTTAAAAAACGAAAGTAAGCACTTTTTAGAAACGCTACACACCATGTGAATTTCTAAAGAAAAGCATGGGTGGCTACTTGCATGATCAATGAAATATGTCGCTAGATAAGACCTAGAAATATGTCGCTAGACAGTGCAGGAGTGAAAACCTGCATTACGTTTCTGTAGAAATAATTTTCCATTGTAAGATAAAAATGCAAAATAACACTTTTATTTGATATTCTAAAGGTTGCATTTTTTTCTCACTAAAATATTTAAAAAAAAAAGCTTCAATTCAAATCAACCTTCTATTTTTAAACAATTAAATAAATTTTAATATGTTACAGATAAAGAGCAATCAAAGTTAGTAAAAGTTCTTCAGATTTTATTATTGAACATAAGTAAGTGTGACCATGAGCAAAAAAATCAGGAGTTGGGTCCCGAAAATAGAAAAAAACAAACAAACAAACTTGGTTAAAGTTTTCAAAAGCTTTTTTCAATCGAAAACAAACTATAGAAATCAGGAAAATTAGTATTCGTCAACCATGATTCAACAAGTTAACTCATAAGAAAGCGAAAACTAGCAGCTTCATGCTTATTAAAATAAACAGATAACTTGTATCAACCAGCATAGGAGACTGCTAAAAAAATTTCCCCAAATGTATATACACAGGGTTTGGACAAAATAATGGAAACACTTCGATACTAACAAATTTTTTGATATTTCTCAAAAAATACTTAAGAGAATCAGTTTATAAATATAGAAGTGTTTAGATCATGCAATTTCTCATACGTATCAATGAAGTTTAAAGCTTTTTGAGATTTGATTACAAACTGTCAATAAATTACGAAAGCAAAAAAATGTTTTTGAACATCCTATGTCAAAAAATGCAGTAATAAATTGGTAACTATTATTTTGGTTATTATATTCAATAATTGCACAAAATTTTGTAAACCCAGTTTAAATATTTATAGAGATATGGAATATTTTTTTTTTAATAAAAAATTTTTATTTTTGTCTTAAATTTTTTTTGCTATAACTTTGAAAATATTCAATAATATTTAACAGAAAATTTAGATCAATTTAAAATTGAGTACAAAATTATTGCTTTAAAATTAGAGAAAAAATCGGTAAAAAATGTGCAAGATACAAATAATTAAAGTAGTTTTTTATACTGCTCACGCACGGGAAAAAATTTAAAAAATTTCCAGCAATTTTCTTACTTTTTAAAAAAAAGCTCAAAATTATAATTTTTTTTTTTTACAAATTTCATTTTGTACTATGAAACAAGATTTATTTACAAATTATAATATCCTTCTAATGATGGTCCGTACAACAAAGTGTGATGGTATTAGGAAATAAAACATGCATAAAGAAAGATACTTTTATGAGGGATGATCCCCAACAAGGCTGCTGTCATTTTTAATAAATCTTGTTTAATAATACAAAAGGAAATTTGTGGAAAATCTCTTATCATTTTGAAAAGTAGGAAAACTACTTGCTTAAAACTTTTTAAATTTTTGAGATATTCAAATCAGACTTTTTTTAATTAGGTGCCAAATATGATTCACTAAAAAATTATAAAAAAAGTTTTAAATTTTTTTCCGAGCATGCACAGTATAAAAAAACTACTTTAATCACTCATATCTTGTGCATTTCTAACAAATTTTAAAGTTAAAGTCAAAAAATGTAAGATAAAAAAATTATTTTTTTATAGAAATGTCCAAATATATAATAACCAAAATAATAGTTGTAGCAAATTTATTTCTACAGTTAAGGCATAGAGCTTTCAAATTGTTTTTTCTTTCCATTTGTAATTAATTGACGGTCTGTCAAACATCAAAAAGCTTTAAACTTCAATGTTATGTATGAGAAATTGCACGACACTTCAAAATTTACAAACTGATTCTCCATTTAATTTCTGAGAAATATCAAAAAATGTGTTAATCTTGAAGTGTTTCCATTATTTTATTCAACTCCTCTTTCGATGTATATTTTTCACAAAAATAATATCGTTTAAATAGTAAATCGACAAAATTTTAACAATGGACAAAAAAGTATATTTTTTTACTAGTAAAAAAGGAATACTAGGAGTTTTTTACTAGTATAATGAGGCAATTTTTAATAATACATTCGAGATTAATTATACATTTTAAATAATTCGGAAATAAGTAGTTTTATTTTAGAATAATTTAAAACATGTTTTATTTGAACAATATCAACTTTTCATTCTAAAATTATTGAAGCAAAACTAAAAAATAAGAATTTTATGATTATAGAAATTTAAAAAAGTTAAGAGGTTTTTAAAAAAATGGTTTGTAGAACATATAGCTTTTCTGAGAATGCTGTTTGCTTTTAGTGATAACTAACAAAAAGAAAAAAATTATTTTTTAAGCGTGTGATGCGCTTAGTGACAAAGCATGGGTTTATAGTCACATTTATATTGAATTTAGAAAATGTGAATTACTTAAGGTTTTTAGAATTAAAAGAGACTAAAGTATTTGTAGCAAAATTTTTGTCAAAAGTAAAGTTTACAGGGTTCTAAAAGAACCTTTAATTTTTTAGCTATGTATCTCATTTTTTGAGTTTTGAAACAAGAAAAATATTTCAAACAATTTGCTTTCAAATAAAATAATTTACTGATTTCATTTTATTTGCAAAATGAAATCAAAATCATAGACTAGCTATTAATGAAATTTCTATTTGTTTATACAGTGTTGTAACTTTTGGAAAACAACTTACTGAAATTTCTATGGTATTTTTTTGCATAGCATACATTCACAATTTTTGAATAGTTGTTTAAGGATAAATTATCTTAGACTTTAAAGAGAAAAACAGGGTTTGTGCTGGTATAAATTACAAAAATATTGGGACACGTACAAATACTGTTCAATAGCAAAATAAAATCAAAATCTAACAATACAGAAAATATGCGATACACCAGAATAACATCGAATCAGTAATATATTAATGACATGCCAGGCATATGCTTGCTAAGTTTCATATCGTTTTAGTCACTTTGAATTAACTAAAGCTAAACTGTGATTTGTCTTGATTTAACCAATTTTTAAAATTGTTCTTTTTTTTAGAAAAAAATATTTTTTATTATGTAAGATAAGGGAAACTGAAAGTAAATAAATCAACCCCCCAAGTAGTGTTAATATCCTGGGTAGAAAACTTCACTGTAAACAGCTTTTTTGCATCCATTTCTTATTCCTTTTAAAATCCCGGATCCCCTCTTTTTCCATTTGAACATGTAAAGAGGGCTTGTATAGCAACCACTTCAATATGAGAAAACTGTGAACATGTTGTATTCTGAATAATTTATAAAAGAAATGTGGTTTTTCTATTTTTACAAAAAAATAATAAAATTATTTTTAAATGCTTCCATTAAGCAATCTTTGACTTCATTATTGAGTGAAAATATGTTTTTGGTCTACATAAAGAGTGAAAAAATATAGCTTCTTGTTTTAAATTATTTTAAAAACAAAATATAGAAAAGGTAATAAAATATAGATATTTATTAAGAACTTGCATAGGCATAACATGGATCATATACATACCAAAAGCATATACATGGAGAGAAGTATATTTATATTTTGACAATTTCTGCCTTAACATAGTCAATAATAGAATGTTTTTCGGCATATATTTTCTCATCTATGCGATTTATTTTCATTCTTGCAAATGTTCCACCACTAGAATGTTTTGTTAATCTCTCAGGATTGATGCAACAGCAACCATTTACATCCTAGAAGGAAAACAAAAAGTCTAGAAACTTTAAGGTTATGTTTTATGGGGTGGGGTGGGGGGGAATTATAAGGTTTTAGATACGCCACCCGGAAGAAAAACACATTAACTGTCGGGCAATAAATTTTTTTTTGTTGTCAACTCTAGATCTAAGACCACATCCACAGAAATAGCAACCTTATTCACTAGTTTTGGATCCAATAGAATTTTTCATTTGCATAGCTGCCAACATGAATAGGCAAAAATCCAGCAGATTTTACGAAATAATATAAATTTCACAATAACTGTTGTATAATGTTCTAAATATTTTACACATAGGGAATTTGAGGGATTTTTTTAGTAATCAAAATAGACAAATTGTCATATTTTTCAGTTATGATTGACATTAAACATACTTGAAATGTTATGTATTATGTTTACTCATTTCAAATATTTATACGCATTTAATTCATCAAAGATAGATAAAATATTTTTTTCCAACTAATTTAAAAAAAAAGAGTTCTGAATAAAAATAAACTGAACATTTTAGAACAAAAAAGTTTTAATCTGATTTCTATAAATGAGGTTAATTTCATTATGTATGGCCAACTAGAAGGGGAAAGGCCAGAGAACTAGCTCATATTTACTTGTGACGTCACGAATTCCGTCCGACCGGCGAACGTAGCTGAAACGAAGACGAAGTGAAAGAATTAGTAAAGCAAAGTGGCGTGCTTTGTATATATTGAATCGTTTACATGCTTGTTTAGTGCTAATTAATCGGTTACATGCTTATTTGTTTAAAGTTTGGAGTTGTTATCAAATTTTAATTTGTTTACAATGCCTAATAGATGTTGTGTTACTGCATGCAAATCAAATTATGATAAAACTGGAGCCAAGATTTTGCCAATTGAATAATATGTTTCAGTATGAAAAACAGAATGCTGTTAAACTTGCATTTAAGTTAAATTTAAAGACTGTTTACCCAACCAAAATGGAAAGACAAAATGTGCTGCCAGCACTAAATGTTTTTTACAAAAGTAATAGTGCTGCTTTAGAGCAGCTTTCAGAAAAAAAGTATCTGTAACTTTGCATACATAATCTGTTTTTATAATAATCAGAATTTATAATAACTCTGGTAACAGATTTTACTTAGAAAATCTGCATCACAATTTTTATAAATTCATAGTTGTCTGTAACATAATCAGAGACTATTTTTTGTAAAATTTGAACCTAAACTAGCTAACACGTTGAGTGTAAATTCCAAATATAAACTGGATAAAAAAAAAGTAAAAATTTCTGTTTCTTAAAACTCATTTGAGGTTTCTATACAACTTCAAAATTGAATTAATACTTATGAAATTAAAATCTTTAATCAAAATGGCTGAATATTTTCAAACAATATTAAAAAATTATCAATAGTGGAATGTTATTATTATAATACTAATATAAAATATATAAGCAAAGTGTTATAATTTTTCTATTTCTTCATTTTGCTTTCTTAATTTTTCACTGCAGTTTTTTAGTCGTTGCTTTTTCTTAAAAGAATTGAAATGGAAAATAATCATCACATACTGGAATAATATTCAAGCACGTCTTACCAGTATGCAGTATTTCTGCTCATGATAATTTTAAAAGAAATTCCTTTCTTCATAAAATATGGAACTATATTACATTCTGAGCAATAACCAAAAGCTTGATTGAAATATTGCATATTCAAAATCCCAAAGACTTATTTTCCAAACTTAATTTGAGAAATATTATTTTAAACTTAAAAATCTTAAATATGCTACTGAGAATTTCTTAAAAATCTTTTTTGAATTATAAAAATAATGAAAATGGCGTATTGATGCGTTTAAAAGTCTTATAGCGGTTTTCAACGGAGACCTCTAGATCAGACGGAATGTTGAAGCGAGAGAAAACATTCTCCGGCCTTCCCCCTTCTAGTTGGCAATGTATTAGTAATACTTATTTAAATATTCTAACAAGCAAGCAATAATCTGTACAAAAATTCTATTTCAATAGCAGGGGTGATTGTGAGCCCAAGTCAAAATTCCGGAAAATTTCCTGAATTTGAAAAAAAAAAGTTTAAATTGAAAAATTAGAAAAAAATTTAAACAAGGTTTTTTTTCCTTTTTCTCAATATTTCTTAGTTTACTAAAAATATATTTAAAATTTTACACATACCTATACCATTTACACATACCTATGATGACCTGGAGAAGTAATTAAAATTTACAAATATGTCTTTCTTTCTTGAGTTTATGATTATAACAACTATTTACTGATAAAAAATGAATATTAATCATGAATATAAGCTTATAAAGTATCTCTGTGGCTCTCCCTTACAAACAAATTAAATAAACTGTGTTTTTAAGTTCCACCTTTAAAAATTTGATTTCCGGAAACTTAAGTGATCTATGATTTTTTGAAACGTTTGTACTTTCGATTTCCGGAAACTTCCGGAGCACTGTTAGCGAAAAATCCGGAAATCAGGATTTTTTCCGGAGCACAATCAGCCCTGCAATAGGGATTTTTTTAGGAAACTTACTAAATTTTAGGGAATTTTCTAAAATGTACAAAAATCAGGAGAATTTAAATCAAACCAGTAGACCAGGAGAAACTGGCAAAATCCAGTAGTCTACTGGAAAATCTAGTAGAGTTGGCAGCTATGCATTTGTCATGCTTGGTGACAAATAAATTGTGTTGAATCACATAAAATTTTTGCAAAGAATGGGATCTGGCCAATAATGCAGTTCATCAAAGTATGTTTTTCATCTTTGTAAATTCCAAATCATGCGTTAGAGTAATCACTTCTTGACCCACTCAATTAGCAACCATAGTGAACTTGCGTGTGAAATATTTTTTAAATATGGATTTTCTCTAGGTTTTTAAAACCTCAATTAATATGGAAGAATCGATAGAAATAATACAATTTAAGATATTATTTCGATCAACAAACTTCTATTCGTGCATTTGAAGAATCACTTTTTAACTAATACGATTATTGGCCATCTACATGGTATTATCAATCGCATTTTTGTCAGTTATTAGTGACACGAACTTCGACATGTTTTTTTTTTAATGCAATATTGTTTTGGAATGAAAAATTTTGAACCACACATCTTTTTAATGCTTTATATTTGCAATGATTTTATCGTCCACACGGATTCGTTGAGAGCGGTTTCAACAGTTAGTGCTTTGAATTTCCATAAAGTTCTGATTTTCTATTTGATATAATACCATAATGATTTGCTAATTTTGAATCACTCTTTTGATACATCACTTTCTGACGCGCTTTAGTCACGATTATTTCATATTAAATCTGAGGTGTTTTCAAAATGCAAGAGTTTTGAGAGTTCTGCATGATTAATTTTTTTGCAATAATCTTTTTATGCAAGACAAGAAAAGAAAAAAAATAGATTTTTTTTGTGCTTTAATAAAATGCTGCTCATCCTCATTTCAAAACTTCACTTCCTTGATATCCAAATTTTTTTAATCATATAACAGCGGAAATCAGATAAAAATCATAAAAAAAATGGAGGTCAGGTAAAAATTATAAATAAATCAAAACAGGTGGAAAAGCAGAGGAGTATCTTGCAAAAGTAACTAAACCCAATGAATGAATAAATTTATGTACATACCTTAATAAAGTACCTAAAATCTGATGGAAGGAGAAGGACGTGGGGCATAACAGGAAGTCCAGCATTTGCCTCATAATGCAGATACTCAATGTTCACTTCTTCATTAGGAGGATACAATGGATAAAAGCTAAATTAAAAAATTATCAATGTAAGAACAACGCAACATCAAAATAAAGTTTTTTTTCTTTTTTTAAACTACCATAGAATTTATTGTTAGTAAATTATGTTCACCCTTAATAGATATTTCTAAATTTCTTAATTAAAATGCACATTAGATATTACTAATTAAAATTGTGTATGGTTTCTTAACTCTTGACTTATCATTAAGTTGGGAAGAGCAATGATAGTATTAAAAACATCAAAAACTAGTTAATTTGTATACTGGGGTTGAAATATATTCCTTTGCTTTGAGCAACTTTTCACCTCATTCTCAGATTAACTGGTGTCAGATGATTTTAATTCTTATAATGCTTTCATTGACATCAATAGTGATTGGCCAAAATTCATTAACCTTTTTTTCTTCTTTTTTTGCAATATTCAATTATTTAATTGCGTCCCTTTATACACATGAACTTCTTAGGATTTAAAAAAGTATACATTGATCAGTCTAATAAATAATCTACCAAAAAACAAAATACTTAGATCAATGCAAAAAATTATAAATAATGCAACAGCAGCGATTTTTAGCAATAAATTTTTAGTTTAAAAGTTAAGAACCATTTTTGTTTCGGTTCCTATTCAGCACTTTTTCAAAAAGAAAAAAAAACATTTGTTTTTATAGTCGTTTTATTATTAAGAGTATTTCTATTTGTCTATTCTTTTTCTTCACCTTTTCTTGAAAATATAGTAATTTGAAAATTGAGATGCTCAGTTTAAATTTTTTCTTTCAAAAATTAAGATATCATTTTTTTTTAAAAAATATTTTCTGATTCACTTTTGCATATAGCGCAGCCTTTTCAAAATTGTTTCTGATAGACTATATCTCTTAAAGTTTTATAGATACTTGGTGGCTCGGGCTCCTTCAAGCCCCAATGATGGGTGGTAGATACGAATTCCACAACCGGATCACATTGACCACAGTGCTGATGTAAAATATCCTCAGTGGGAAAAAGATCATGAGTTAGAGTCCCCTTGTTGCCAGGCTAACAGTGGGAGGTTTTCACTCTATGTAACACAAATGTGGGTTCCGTTTTATAAAAGAGTCCTCCAAAAAGGCAAATTTCTTCCAATACTTAATCCATGAGTTTCCTTGTCTTCTGAATTGGGAACAAAATTACAAGGCTACGGAGTTGAACATTGGTAGTCGTAAACTTAAAATTAGGTCGGCTGTTTTAAGACGGTTATAATATAAAATTATTATTTTTAGCATTAAAGTTCTGTTTAATGAACTAAGAGAATTTTTTTTCTATTTCTTTCAATTTTATTTTATTTCTTTCAATATTATAAATTAATATAAAATAAAATTATTTTTACCATTAAAGTTTTGTTTTAAGAACTAAGAGGATTTTTTTTCTATTTGTTTCAATTTTATTTTTCATAGCTGTTTTTTTGCTTATATTAAATATTTGTAATAGATAGTATATTTTCATTACCCCCTACCAATAATAAAGTTGGTTTTGTTTATTTTCAATAATAACTTTTTTTAAAAAGAAATGTTGCTATTCGTCCAAATCGCTATTTGTTGAATCACAAGTTATAATGATACCAGTTATATAATAAATTTATTACATGTATACAAGAGAATACATTCTATAACTTACTGTCTCTGTGTTAGTATGTGACTACATAATCTTCCCAATCGATCTGGCATCTGTCCACTTTAAAAATAAATAAATATTTAGTTTATTATGCAGAACATATAAAAAGAAAGACAGTGAGACACCACAACAAAATTTGTAAATGAGATTTCAAGAACTGATAAGAAGCGAATAATCAGGGAAAAAAAGAGACACTAAAAAATCAAGTAAATAAATGAAAATATACTCAAATATCAAAAAAGAATAGAGGGTGATTCAAAACTATTTTTTTTTTACTTAAGTGAAAAATAATGTCTGGTATAAGTAAGGAAAATTCTGTTGTTTGCAAATGTATTAAGAAACAAGTATTTTTCTTCTTTTTAATAAAGCATAAAATTAAATAAATTTTTCTTTAAATGTCAAGAATAAAGAAAAAAATCAGCAGATTGTTAAAAAAAATAGGATTGTAATCATTTTATTTTCTAATATACATAAAAATCTAAGTATCATTAGGGTAATAATAAAAAAAAATCTAAGAGGAAATCAAATTGTATACACTAATAACTACACTTTTAAATTGACTGCAAAATTTCCAGTCATCTGAAAAACATTAAATTATTGAAAATAACTTTCTTCAACGTATTTATTATATTTTTATAGTAGTTGCTCGAGGCAGCCAGCTGGATGGTCCTCTATGCCTCCACTTAAAAGGAAGAAAAAAAAGTACAGTTGGACTTGCAAGCTGTCCCTCAAATATGTTTAAATTTTTTCTTTCTTTTTCTGAAGGACTTTTGCATTAATTAGTACCTTATTTTACGTGTAAATGCAGTAAAGCCTGTTCCAGGTCAAGATCATCTCAATACAGTTTCTCCGATGAATCGAATTGGGCGCTATAGTCTACTAAATTTGATTTTCAATATTTAAAGGTTTCCCTCTTTTGATGGTACTCTGTACACTTGTGAAGGAGACCATTTCAACAGAATTCAAATTGTAAGTTCGAACATTATACCCATACCATCTGAAATTACTAAATTTGATAACACTAATAATACTTTGCATTTTCTACAGATTTCATGATAAAAAAAAATTCCATCTATCATTTTATCTAAATAGGTAAAATATTTTTTGAAGCATTTTTGTTTTAAAGATAAAAAAGGAATCAAGATTTCTTAAAAGTGATGCATTATTTATGAAGTAAATGTTTAGCTTACAGAGGGTAGACAATATTAATACAGTGACAGTTATACCAGAACAAAAGTTTTATAAAATCAATGAGCTATGTCTTTAAAAGAACTTACTTACAGGCTTACATACAAATATATTTTATATACTATTTGTAAGCAGTATATCATGAGCTAAATTTATGACTAATTACTTATTCAATATACAGTATACTCTCGATATCTCGAAAACCTTGATACATCAACAAAAAAAAAATTACTTTGTTTCTTAGCATTCCATATCCACCTAATATTAATTTGAAATCCCATGTGGAAGAGTTTCTTGCTATGTTGAATACGTTTCAAAGTAAAAAATGAATTTTTTTTGGAAAAATTACCACTCAACATTACTGCATCCCAAGAAAAAATGCTGCCCACACATTAAAACGTTTCATAAAATGCTTCGAGAACATGAAAAGCGATGACTTGGTAGCTATTTTTTGAATAGAAAAATTGATTGGTGAGCAATTTTGAAAATGATGTCGACAGGTCACGATGGTAGTTTTTATTTATTTTTTAAAATAAACTCTATTAATGTAAGCTTTTTGTAAACAAATTCTTTTATATTTAAAGCATCATTATTTTTGTGTTGCTTTTAAAAATAAAATTATTATTGCTGCATTGAGACTTAGTGTGAAATATTATGCTAACATATTTATTAGTATTTATTCTGATGTTCCATGACTCTAGGTTTTAAAATACTATTTAGGAATTAATTAATCATTATTATTACTATTTAGAACACATTTAGTTCTGAACATGCTATCTCGATTTTTTTTTGAGAGTATACTTTTTCTATAATAAATTTAACATCCTTACTTACTGAGATATTTCTTCTTTTCCCATATGAAACAAAATATCAGTTGCGGAGATAGCAAATATTACACCTTCAATATTCACTACACAAGGATCAGAAGCTACCTGCAGTATCTGTAACAAATGTTATAGCATAAATATATATATTTTTTATAACTGCCTTACAGTGGACAGGAGTCTGAAATCATGCACTTGTATCCACTGTAAATTCAGAAATAAAATGGTACAAAATTAAATTTATTTCAGTAGATGTATAATGCTGTGAAGGCAGAGCTAGTAAACAATATTGGTATTGAGAGAATGCATCAAAATCACACTAAAATCAATGTGCTTTAATTTTTATGTTAGGGAAAAGTTTCGTAAGTTTTCCATCTTTTAAGTCACATGCTTAAAAGGAAACAGCATGAGTTGCAATAGGCCCACACATCAGGTTACCGGAATTCTCAGATCTCACGCTTCCTTAGCGGAAAAACTTAGAATTGTTAGCTCTGTAATTTTTAATCTACTTTTAGAAGAAAATGTGANAATCCTCCTTCTCGAAGGCCGATTATCCTCCCTCGTTCAAACTCCGTAAGTTGCTTGAATTTCTTATTCTTCCGTCGTGGAGGCATACTCAGGTCTCACTAAACGTTTGCCACTAACAAATAATCATAGACTATTTTCAACGTCCCGCTACAGCACTTTATTTATACAAGGTTCCCACTCAATTTTCAAAAAAAAATTCAAGGACTTTTCAATGACTTTCAAGGACTTGAATTCATATTTTTCAAGGACCTACTCAGAAATATAGATGATATGCTAAAATACATGTGAACCATATTTTTATAAGTTGGAACAGATATTCTATACTTGAAAAGCACAATGCTTAGTTGACAAAAAAAAAATTATATATTAAATATAAATTTTAGATATAATAAATAGTTTTGTGAATTAGAAATTGTAATATAAGACAATGTGATTTTTATTTATTCTTAAAAATAACCATACTTAAAAATAATGAAAAAATACAATATCTTTTTCATTTTATGTTACTAAAAATAAAATATTTAAGAACAATTTTGCATTTCTTCAATTTTAATCTTTATTTTATGTTGAATATCGTTCAGTTCAGAATTTTTTTCTTTCACTGCTTTTCTCAAAGCATTTGATCTCTTGAATAGTGACAAATCATCCTTCTTTTCAGCTTCTTCAGCAAAAGCTTCGCAAGATTTGTCCATTTCACAAATATCCTTCTCTAAACACTTTTTTTTAAACTTAAGATCATTAAGTTCGTCTGAAATTATTTTTCTTTTGTTTCCTGCTTCCTTAAGTATTTTCTCTTTTTGTTTTTTTTCCAAATCTAAGATATATTTTTGTCTTGCGCCTGACACACTTTTCCTCATTTCATTTGTTATTGGAATACTTAAAAAATCATCATGAGAGTTTATTGCATCAGCAATAAGTCTCTGAGCAATATAAGACTCACTTTGTAGATTTTCCACTTCTAATTGCTTGTTTACTGAAAATCCCCGTTCAACTGTAGCTTGTCCATGAGATAGTGTCATTACTATTTTCATGATATGCCATATTTTTTTATATGATTCAATATCTTGGCTCACAAATTCATTTAGAAAGGTGTCCAGCCTAGTTTTTTGAGGGGAATAGTTTTGAAATGAAGAGGGATGATTTCTAACAACATTATTCAAAAAATTCTTATATTCTAACATGATGGCATCACAGTCTTTGTCTAGAACGAAGTTATTTTCCACCAAATAATTTATCAAAGTTTTCAAATATTTTTCACAATTAGATGGCTTGGAAAACATTTTCCTCGGATCGAAACAGGAGGAAGATCTTACTAAAATATAATTGATTGGGCACTTCTTCATCAAATGAACAATCATATTTGTGACAAACTGTTGGCAATTATGCTTTAGCATTAATGCCTCCTTGTCACTAATGACCTTTTTTAACAACAGTTGTTTCAGCAACTTGTCGGCAGTAAATCCCAAACTAACTTTATCCACAGTATTAAGTAGATTTTTGTCATTAAAATCTACTTTGCACAGCTGTGAAGCAGATGACATATTTTCAGTGTGCTTGGGTTTCAGAACATGGAAATGTTCAGCACAATGTTTTATTAGCTTTACAACATCGTCGGCAAAAAATGGTACTAAAGGAGCATCAGTTTGATAGAATTCCAGAAAGGGTGTAACAATTTTGGTGACTGACAGAAAGGAATGAAATTTAATGAGAATAAGCTTATCTTTTGTTGATTCAAGAACATTGAAATAAGATTTGTTCTTATTTGTTTTGTATTTTCCTTTCTCAACATTATCTACATATGACGTAATATCTTGCCAAATTTCAATGGCTCTTTCAACAGCAGGAACATTTTCCAGCCATCTAAAATTGCAAAATTTGACTGGAAATTTTGGATTCGAGGAAGAGTTGATAAAATCTTCTCTACGAGCTGGACTGTCTTTAAACAGCCAGTACAAACTTATCAAGATGCTGGAAATATTCCAGAAAGTAGAATTTTCCCCATGCTTAAAAGCATTGTTTAATATATGTAGCCCACAGCTACCAATGCAAATTGTTTGATAATTGTACTGCTGCTTCAGATCAGTTTGAAGACTATCAAAAAATTTCCAGTTGACGTTGGGCCCATCCATGGATAGCTGCAATATTTTTGTCAGCTTCAACTTATCAACAGAATCATAGAAGGCTGCTAGTAATGCTTCAGCTTTTGCATGTCCAATAAATGCAGATGTTAAATACAAAGTTTTAATTTTAGCTAGTGAAACATCCCAAAACCTTACATGTATATCCATTTGCTTTTTTTGTGTGCTCTTATTTAATGTTTCATCAAAAAGGACAGTGTAGTAGTTACATTCATCTAAACACTTGAGAACACAGTTTTTAAAATAGGGTCCCAAGCCAAAACAGCACAAATAGGAACATTTTGTTGCCCCACATGAAAATTGTTTTGCAATGTCACTGTCTGGAAACATTTTGATGAAGCAATTGTTGATTCCTTCACACGAATTGTACGAATAATGGCTTTTCATACATTTCAACGCCCATCTTATTTCAGCGTCAATCACACTATCCTTAGACACAAATGATGACATAAGGGATTGACTGTTAGTTTGCAACTTGTGATGAGCAGGCAGAGGTTTATTGCGTACTTCTAAAAGATCAACCAACTCATGAGACTGTATTTTGTTTTTGTACCTTTCCATATGTTTCAAACCTTTAAGAGAAAACGAAATGAATAAATATACTACGAAAAGTAAATAGGCATCATAAATTGAAAGATACTTTTTATTGGAATAAAATAAATTCCTTTAAGTATAAAAAATATTTTCTTTTTATTATAAAAAAATTAGCTAAATATAAATATAACTAAAAATGAGAAAAAGACAACAGAATATTATTAATTGATTTTAATCGGCAATAAAAAGGAAAAGTTAAAATTTTTTAACATACTCATTGCCTTCTGTAAACAAGTGGTTTAACTATTTCGATCCTGGAGTGATATGATAATCTATGCAAGTAAAATCTAAGTTTTATTTATTTATTTTTTAATTTTAGTAATGAATTTAGTAAAGCTTTTAAAACTTATTATGAGCTAATTAGTTTATTTTATCAATAAGCTTATTTTAATGAGCAATGTTATTGTCATGAGAAAGCATATTTTCTGAAAAAATAGTGGGTGATGATATGCATCTTGCTACCACTTAATCCATTTTAATGACACAGACTAAAGGAATTACGTCACGTGATATCGCGTGATAGATGACGTTATAGGCGCTAATGAACGATTGCACATCGAAACAAATAAAAATATGGTTTACCGCAGTTTTGTCAAATGTTAACTGAATTTAATCAACTAAAAATTAATATTTCGACAAGTCAAGTGAAGTAAACGGTATAAAAATATAACGCGCTCTGTTCAACTCACTATCTTAGTAACGATCGATAGATGATCGTAAATTAAAGTGTAACGTAGCGTAAACATAACGTTAAGACCGTACAAATTGACGGGATAAATCTAATGCAGGAAATAAAGCATATTTTAAACTACAACGAGCTGTCGCTGAAAGAAACTAACGTAACTACAAACAGCGTTTGTTCGACGTTAAATCGGTCAAATAATAAAGAATAATAATGATAAAATATTCAAATAAACAAGAACACAAAGCTTAAATAAAGTATTAAAAATTAGGTTCGTCCGATTCACTGTAATGAATAACATTTTGGAAAACAATAACTAAACTTAAGAGAAAATAGGAAAGTAAAAATGTAACTGCAAACTAATATTTTTAAAAATAAACAAGAATGCAAAACAATAATTAACAACTAAAGACATGATACTTAGCGGGGGAAAAATCGGAAATACAAACGTAACTAAGAAAATAAAACTAGGAATTAATTGAGTGATTAAAATTGAAATAAACAGGAACGCAAAACGAAAGTAAACAATTAAAAACGCAACATGTCCACTTAAAACAGTAAGAACTTATGCGATTCTAATAAATGGATATAAAAAAAAATTTTTTTTAAATTTTAAACAATAACAAACCGCCGTATGAAGAAACTAATAAATATTCAAATAAATCGAATATAATCGAAATTAACCACATTGGTAAGTTGCAAACGCAATCTATTAAATCCTTTAGAAAGAATAAAAATATTTAATGGAAATATAAACATAAATATTAGTAAAATTAAAACGTTAAAAAATTATTGAGCGGAACTAATTAATCCAAAATTAAATTTAAACTTACGTCGTATAACTTACTAAACTATCGTAGAGTTATAATAAGCGATTTTTCACGCATAAATTTTTTTTTTAAAAAATGGAAGAAATTATTAAATGAATTCGTAATAATACGATTATAAAATATTAAAAGTTTAATTTTTATTTTAGAAATGGATTCAGATTTCTAATTTTAGAATGTTCTTTAACTAGGTTCATTTCTCATTTTGAAATCTTGTTTAAATAATATATTAAACGGCTAAGACTGATGGAAAACAAAGTTGCAATCACCAGAAAAAATTAATTATACCTCATAAGTTATTTTTAGATGGATAGATAAAAATACGTTTTTTTTTAATTGCGAATTTGAAAAACAGTGAAGTTAGAATATCGATTTCTAAAAATTAATGCTGTTCTGTATCACTTTTAAACCATTATCTTTTAATATTAATAATAAAATAAAATTAAAAAAATCCTACCTTTCATATGAGATTTCAAAGCAGATTCTCCCATTCTGCCGATGTCAAATTCCTTGTAGCATAATTTGCAGTATGCTCTATTTTGATCCGGAACAGAAGCGAGCCAAATCTTATAACATTCTTTATCTAGCCAGCCAGGATTAAATACACACTTACCCGGCATTTCGAATAAATTTATGTTGAAACGAAAAACACAATTAGAATAAATAATAGTTATTACTAAAATTGCGATCCATATATCTCTTTAAAATTTGTAAAAGTGGCTATTAGACGCGGTTGAATGATCTCACCCACTACTGGTATTTTTATATCCAATCAATCACAGGAGAGGGATGGATAATGCCATGGCTCTTTTCCGCATGCGAACTTCTTTCCACTTAGCTGACCTTGAACAGCAGCGTGACGTTCTGGAGGACTATGCTGAATCACCCCCCCCCTTCTTTCCTCCCTCGTTTTCTTAGGAAAAGAAAACGGGAAAAGGAGGGGGAGTGATCGGAATTCCAATCCTTTCTGCTAACACAATAGACCGAAGAAAGAGGTCTTCTTTTCTCTCATCGAAACCAGTCCTAAAGAAAGACCCCGCACCCCTACTTGCACCAGAGGAATGTCTGGAAAAGTACTTATCCAGACAAACGGGGTTTTTTTTTTCGTGCTTTTTCGTAGGAAAGATATTCTAACAATTTTTTTTCCTTAAATTATTTTTTAAAAAATCAAAAACTTTTCAAGGACCTTATCGCGGAATTCAAGGACTTATCGGGGCCCCGATTTTTTTCAACAAAATTCAAGGACTTTCAAGGTTTTTCAAGTACCGTGGGAACCCTGTTATACGCTTTCAGCATCAATTCAGAGGGCGCTGCGCGCGCCACGCACGCGCGATGGCTCTGAAACTTTATTAATTTGCAGAATATCCTATAATTGACATTTGCTGCGAATTTCATTTGATTCTGATGATTCCTTCATGGTGTTGCATTTTCTACAAACAGCAGTTTACAAATCACAATTCATAACTTTTAGATCCCGNCCCCTTCTTTCCTCCCTCGTTTTCTTAGGAAAAGAAAACGGGAAAAGGAGGGGGAGTGATCGGAATTCCAATCCTTTCTGCTAACACAATAGACCGAAGAAAGAGGTCTTCTTTTCTCTCATCGAAACCAGTCCTAAAGAAAGACCCCGCACCCCTACTTGCACCAGAGGAATGTCTGGAAAAGTACTTATCCAGACAAACGGGGTTTTTTTTTTCGTGCTTTTTCGTAGGAAAGATATTCTAACAATTTTTTTTCCTTAAATTATTTTTTAAAAAATCAAAAACTTTTCAAGGACCTTATCGCGGAATTCAAGGACTTATCGTGGCCCCGATTTTTTTTCAACCAAATTCAAGGACTTTCAAGGTTTTTCAAGTACCGTGGTAACCCTGATAATGTAATTAGAACTCATATTTAAGCAATATTTCTTTAAATCAATAATTCCGTAAAATTAAAAATTATGGAATAAAAAATAAAAAAAAAACTGCCGCTACATTTTTTCTAAATAACAGGGAAAAAATGAAAAGTTTCATTATTCTTATATACAATAAAAAAAAAAGCTATTGAAAAATATTTTACCACACATTACAAGGAAAATTATTAATAGTCTATAAAAATTTTTTTTGTGGCATATTACACAAGCCTAAGAAGTGGTGAGTAAAAAGTGTAAAAATCGAATTTGTTAAAACAAGAATCATACATTAAAAGACCAGCACTCAAAAATATTAATCAGTTGTCCGCAGCAAGTTAGCATCTATGAAATACCACTCTTTCATACATATTTACAGATCATATTTAATCATTTTGTGATCATATTTGATACATATTTAAGATCATGCAAACATTACATGTCTAGAAGAACTTATTGATCTCTTTTCTGTTTTTACTAACAAATGCAAGCTAACTATAGTCGTTAAGATTATGTAGATCTTTTAAAACCACAGTAGAGCCCCGATCATCCCAGTTTACTCTTTAACCAAGCTATAAAATATTTAAAGAAATTTTTTTGTACTGGTTTATTTTCAAAACTACCACCGAAAAAAATTCTGAATTTTATCTTCCAAACACTCCGGAAAACAAGCTGACGAACAACACGAGATTACCCATGATCGTCAATATTGAAAATGAATTCAGCGAAGATGAGGAAGTGATGATGAAAATCAACATATAAAAATCTCTCATACAGATGGACTAAAAGCTGTTGAATATATAGAACAAGAGGCGACACCAGCAATCCTGTTATCCCTAAAAAAAGGGTGAAACATTGTTGCAGAAAAGCTGATAAGTAATGAAAAACAAAAATCGATTAAGGACTTATTTAAGTTAAAACTCTTACATTCTCATAAAGTATGCTCTTTAAGTGTTTTTAAGTAAGCTTTTTAATTATAATATGAATTGTATGTGGTACATTCGTATAAATTTCGTATTTGTTAAATATTTTACATTTATAACTTTTCTTTTTCTTTCCTTTTTTATACTCCTCGCTTTAACTGAGTTTTTCGCTTATCCGAGTTAATCATGGTCCACGTTAACTCAGATAATCGGGAATCCACTGTATTATCCCAATAGCTAATTTATAAGATAGGTTGACAAACTTTAAAGTAACTTTTTTCAGTTGAATTTGCTTAGATTCAGAATGCTTTTTAGTCCAACAATAATTTTACATGTGAACATTTATTTGAATCTATATTGCTGAAAGAAAATATCATAAATTTTTATGCAATTCCGTATAAAATAACGAACTAACATAATAATAGTAAGTATTGTAAAGAATAACTGCTTACTTCAATCAACTCATTCTTGATATCTACAAATGGGCCAATCTAAATAAATATAAAATAATAGTGTATATTAAACCAAATAATAAAGAACAAAATTTTAAGTAATTTTTAAATTTTTTTTATGTTTATTAAAAATCCAAGAAGACCATTCATAAATATTGCTAGTTTTTACTTATTTATAATCGATTTTTGTAAAAATCATAATAAAAATAACTTATACACAATGGTTAATTCATGAAATATACTAATACAATATATACATAAAAAAAAAATAGTTAAGGCCGTTCGCTCGCTCGATCGGGAGAAAAGCAACCCCCACGTTATTCTATGGACAGTTCAGTACTGCATAAAATCATCAATTTTCAAGATAATAACGTTCTGTTT